ATCTGATCAGCAGTCAGGTCTCGTAGCTCGGTTGGTAGAGCATCGGGTCAGAAATCCGATGGTCGCTGGTTCAAATCCGACCGCGGTCCAAATTTTCATTTCACCCCTAACCATCACTCAGTATATAGATCCGTATTATCAGGCTTCTTTAAGTTATTTTCAGCTTCACTATGTCCATCATTTAGGTAATTACTAAGAGTTATTTTCGAAATCTGAGGACTTATGGGCGCAGATACTGGTTGTATGTCATACAGCATTTGATTAAATTTCTCATTAATCCTCAGTGTTGCTTCCATTCTTTCTTCATAGGTCTGTATGAAAGCTTGAAACTCTTCATTAGAATGTATTATCATTTATCACCCATCTCCACTTATTATATCTTTGTAGTCATTTGATATAACCTTCAGACTTCACTTTTGATGATATACCCATAAAATTCAACGGACAGAAACGCGGAACCTGATTTCCAACTTCTGCATTGTACTCGTCACGTCATGTTTATAGTGTAAAGCAATTTTATCACGCTAGCTTAGCCTGTTTTTGTGCACTTGCATACGTAGCATTTTAATTAAACTAGTCTTTCTCAATTATCTTTGTCTATTGAAACCTATTTTCATGTATACTCACATACAGACATTTACACACAAACCACTCTAGTTCCCATTTCTCTGATGTCCAGTTACTTCAATGCCTATCACACAAAGTTCGTAGTCAGACTGAATAGAAGAACTGTCCAATTCAATGAGGTCTCATGCGATTGTTGTTGTTGGTGATGATGATGATATGCATTTCATTCTTGTGGCTGAATAATAATGGGTATATAACTGTAGGATCTAAGGTGAAATTCATCCTAAAGATTATTCTTTGTTCCTTAAAATGTCTTTTAAAACCCAATCAGTTAGGCGGGAAATCTGTTTAGCAAATGAGTTATACCCTTCAAATAATCATTCGTATATACACGTTCGCATAATTTGTGAACTACAATCATAGTATGCATAAAATCCAACAACACTGCCGAACTTTTCATATTCAAGCAGCTGGAACGGTACTCGTTTCATAACCTATTTGTTATCACTAAAGATGTCAAAATAGGCAGATGTATATGCATATTGGGGGGGGGGTGGGAACGGAACTCATGAACAATAACCTTTGGCTTTACCCTTGAGCGTCGCTTGAGAAAACCGATAAGTATTTTTTTTTATGTCGAATATATGTAAAACGCGGCAGGTTTATATATGTTTTCGATAGCCGTTATATGTTCGACACTTTTCTAGAATATCCTCATGGTAATCTAAGACTGATATGTATGACCACGTAGTTTTTCGCAAATGTTCGCCATGCTATGATTGATTATGAAGGTTTTGCTGGAAATTGCAAGCTTCTTTGAAGAATCTAAGAGATATTGTCCCACTCTATAACAATATTTGACCTCACAATCATTACATATTGTTTAGTCGATCAAATTACATTTTCGGATTTGGTCAATAGAAACGTTCAAGCCAACATCAGAAACTTTACATAAAATTCTCAACAAGATTAACGTCGAAACGTGTGAAGTTTATTTTAGTACAAAATCAGTGAACAAAGTTCATTATCTGATTAGTTTGTTTGCATGGAGAATGTACAAATCGTAATAAAATTGACCAATAAATCGAAGAGAATTATTTGTAGTAATAATATTAAATGTATATGATTATAAACATGAGAAATTGATTTTAAAGTGGCGAATAACTGGTTTTTCTATAAGATGTGACAATCTACTATCAGCTTGTCTATTGATGATTACATGAAAAAAAGTTTGTAATTGGGAGATATGGTTGGTTAGCTGTAGCCCTCAACTTTCGAATCCAAACCCTACTCCACCTACTTTGATCTTGGCAAACATGTAGTGTCGTAATCGCTCATACTGTAAGTGTCACTAGTAGTAGTACATAAACACATGCACCTTGGTCGAGTTCAAGTTATAGTCAACAACAAGAATTACTAAGGGTATGTTCAGCTGTAGTATCACTCAGTAGTAGACTTGCATATGTAAGTGATAACTTCTGAGTAAATGTTGAGACATTAACTTGGCATTTTTCCAACATACGTGCTACTGTAGTTGCAGCAGATGTGAGTTAATGGATAGACGTGATTAGAGGCAACTAAAGGAGGCTAGGTAGCTTTTCCGTGTTTGTACTTTGAGTTGTTAGCAATTAATTCCATAGCTGGAAAAGTCAATAAGATGTTAGTATAGAAGGTTCATAATTCTACTTTTTGTCCTAGAATGATACTTTATTCAGAAATGAAGCGTCTTTTCTGTCACATGACAGAAACATTTTTTTTTCTCATAATTCAATTAACTTTGATGGTCATCAAATAATTTAAAGATCCGCAAAGATTATTCGGAACAAGTATAATTTGAACGACTAATGTTGTTTTGAATAACTTCGTTATCAGTCTCTACAATTATGTCTATGAGAATAGGTGAAGCGCGATAGCCAATGTAAAGCAGTGTAAAATTGTTTCAACATTGAAATAGTCTAGTGTTATTGCTTGTATTCCACTGCTAGCCACTGCCCATCATTACTATACATAATTAAAATAGTCTGTTATGAGTGAATGGAGATCAAATCAAATGGATGTAAGTTTTTATCCAATGGAATAGTAATCAATCTAGTGTGCTAGTTGTGCGATGAAATCAATATGGACGGAAGAATTACGAAATAATAAGACAAAATCTAGAGATAATGTTTCTTTTGTATACATCTATCATCAACGGGAGAAATCTAAAGGATGTTGTCTCTTTCACCTACCACCTAGGCACCATCATTCCAAGTACACGCAGCGGCGGCACTGATGATGACTTCAAAGCTAGAATCGGAAAAGCAAGACATTCCTTCCTGCATTAACCTGAAATCAGTATAGAGATCTACTGCACTCAGCATAAAGCGTGAACAACCGGATTTTTAACACCAATGTCAGTCAGGTCAGTGCTTCCACGTGATGGTTTAGAGACTTGGCCCGTCACAAAAATCATTTCCAACAAACAGAAGACATACATCAACAACTGACTATGCTCACTCGATACTGAAGATTAGATAACCAGAAAGAATAAGCATCAACGAACTCTGGCTGGCTGACTGGCTGGCTGGCTGGCTGGCGACCAACCAACCAACCAACCAACAACCTATTGTCTAACAAATATGCAGAAGAAAGTGGAGATGGGTTGGGCATACACTGAGAAAACCATTCGGGGATATCACGCGCCAGGCCAGATCCTCGAGTGGAATCCAAAGGGAAAACGATGAGTTTGGCGTCCCAGTTGAGAGTGACATGGAGGAGATGGTGTGAGGAAGAAAAGAAAGCTTGTGGGCAGTCGTGTAGCCAGGTTCAAGGGACTGTAGAGAAGAGAGTGAAATGAAGACATGCTACTGAAGCCCTATGTTACACTAGGAACCAAAGGGACAAATAATAGTGATATTCTTAGGACTTGATTTGTGTGTGTGTTTATTAAGAGTCAAATGATGACTACGTAGTGAGCGGCTTTAATGCCACCCTAGCAACAACTGAAACAACCAATCAATCTGCTCTATTTCATGAAGATCTGTCTTTCCAGCCGAAATGAAGAAACCTAATTGGCGATTTCGATCATTGGTAGGGTGGCGTTTAAAGTCGCTCCTATATAATAGTGATTTATATTCAAGTAGTGTGAAAGATCATGTGAATACGATAACGAAACAAAGAATAACAAATGTGTAGTGTTACGTCACGGTTGAAAATGACTACGAATAATAGTATGAATAGACAAGAGCATGAAATTAACAGCAACTAAATGTGATGTATCTGCGTAATACATTTCGAACAGTCTGCTCATACAGTGACTTGTCAAGTCAGTTTATATTAAACCGAAGAAAGGGAGCACACATACAATAATTAAGATAATAGGGGATTAAATATAAGAAAGATGAGAACACACAAGAAGTGACATAGCTGATTCTTATCTTAGTAAGAAAACAAAGTTTACCAGGGTAGGTTTGGTTTAATGGCTCAACTTGCCACACTTTGCCGTAGTATACGAGGACCAGGTGGATAGAATAAGAGCGATATCAAAGTGGACAAAGTTTTGTGAGTGACAATGGTTAGTGCAAATATTCAAGGTATAGAAGATATCGAATAGTGAGTACATCTGCGTCATTGTGACCTATTTACAGCCATGTCACTAAGACCCTCCAACCATCATTTCTTATCATTTTGAGAAACCTAACCAGGCAGTCTAAATCTCACACTAACTGTCAGAAATATCATCGACGGATGCCATGTCTTCGTCTGGTAACGCTGAACCCTCTTCCTACAAAATCCAACTTCCCTTAGCACCACTGATCGAGGTAGGTGAGGGGTAGGCATGTGGAATATATGTTCAGGTCACGTCAGCCGATAAAAGTTCACAACCTCATCAATCGACTTGCTTGTTTTGCTTATTTCCCTTCGCCTAACCTCGACATTGCTTGTATAGCGATTCCAGCAAACACGAGGAAGATACCTGTGATTGAAAACCGGTAGTCACTTCATATCTTCTACGTTTAACGGCTGTCTCACAACCGTATAACAGGACAAAACGGACTGCAGCTCAGTATACTCGTCCTTTGATAGATAGTCGTTTACCTCACCAGTTGGCGCCACAGATAATGGAAGTTTGCAAATGCCAAAACGGCTGAGATTTCATTAGCCTGTTCAAGCTGAAGCAACTTTCCAAGTAATTGAAGCCATATATAGGATTTAATGACAGGAATATGCAGACTGATATTCGGTAAAGGAATCTAGGAGAAAATGCTTGAGAACTTTCTTCTTTGCAGACATTCTCTCCATAAGTTTTTATATGCTGTCTAGTTTTTTGTTCACGTATCCATGCGTTCTTTCATTTTTTCGGATTCTTATTTCATAGATGTATCGCTACATGTTTGTATGTTTGGGTGTTACATCTCCCTACTTTTCTATTTTATTTTCTGAATTCTGTCTAGCCTTTAAAACCTTGGATTGATGTTCCGTGTAATCAGTCTGCTTTGAATGGCAAATATACCCCAACAACTGGTAATGAATCATCGTTTATACTTATGCCAGGTATAACTATTTCACGGACAATTTGGTTACGTGGTCCACACTTAAGTTATCCATCTTCGCATAGAAAACGTGATAATTCGTGCTCTTATCGGTATCCTGTCCATGCTTCATCATCGTCACCATTATCGACTGTGTCTTATACAAGTAGCAATAGCAGTAGTGGTTATGGTTCAGGCGTTGTTGCCGGTTCCAGTGTCGCTGCTTCTTACGCTGCTACTACTTACACTTGCCCGCCTCCTCTTCCCCCTCCTCCTCTTAGTACTAGTGCTATGCTTCTACCGTATGCACACCAGAAAACTGTACATGTTGTCTTCCAGTATGAGTCTGCCAAGGGATTAACAAGTCAGCTGCCAGCGTCACAGCAACAGCAACCATTTTCTGGGTAAGTTTATCAGTTTCCTGTGTGCTTTAAAAAAAGTTTCTGTTGATGATCATGCAACTCAGAAACCGCATTATTGTATTGAGATTTGAGCTGTATACGATGCAGAGTGACAACAATACTGGCTGTCTGTAAGGCTTCAGGTTTATGAAGATAGTTAAAACAAGGTGGAATCCAGCGCGAAAGTGTATCAGTTCCAGTTGCTACAGCTCACAGAAGCACACCACGGAGAATTATTTAGCAAAATAGTGACATTTAAGTTGATGGGCGTGTATGAAAGGAGATAGAAGAAATCCGTAGAGGTTTATACAAGTATTCGGAAATGACAAAGGGTGTATCATAGGAAACGGTATTGTAAGTTATCAGTCGCTAAGGAAGAACGTTTTGTATTTCGATTTTTGTTTCACGTCTTTGTGTAGTTAGGAGAAACCTTGTTGGACAATTTTATCCCACAGTTGACCAATCGAAACGAAGTATTTGGCTTTTGACCTAGTGGTTTTTTATGTGTTCGTGTAAACTGTATATTAATGGTGCATTTTTTTTGTCTGATAAAGTGTCTTCCTTACAGTCACAGATCAGTCTTTGTTTTCGGATATTTTTGGGGCTCAATGAAGTATAAGGTATTGAGGGAGAACGGTTGGTATTCGTATCCAGTCCTAATGTCTCGCTGCGTTATTAGCATTTGCATATTTCTTGTTATTCACACGGCTACTCCAGTGTATGTCTGTGAATTTGTGATTGATTTTCAGCTGTAATGCAAATAATCTCCGCGCTTTGATTCCTATTACCTCGAGGACCCAACCTGACAGCCTGCATCCCTCTATAACATGACTGAGATAAACAATCAGAGACTTCAGTGACTAGTGCCGATTCTTAGTCTAATTTCTCTCAGCCGACTTTGTTCTGACCAAAACATAATTCTGCTTAAGTTATACGTTAAGGTCTCTGGTGGCTTGGTATGCATAACCTATGTCCTAGCCGCCCCAGTCGGTGAAGGTTCACTTCTTCGTCGACTGGTTTACTTTCATTACCTTAGCATCCTAAACCTAACCCCACTAATTCTAACACGATGATTCCACCGTATTCAAAAAGTGCTGCGAAGGTACTTGTAATCAAAAACCTGTCAGGCAGACACACCGGTCAATCAATGTACAACCTAATAAAGAAGTATGTTAGTTCAAGTTACTTGCAACCTCTTCACATCTTCTGATGTCAACACTCATATCTCACAGGCATACAGTAGAACAAATTTGATTGTTGATAAATATAATCGTCCTTTGATATGTATTCAAATATATTGCCGATACCATAGACGGAAAATACCTAAGGAGCCTTTTGAATTAGGACTGAGATTTCGTCCACAGCCTAACATCGAGGCTGATGCATCATATCAAGTAAATGATATGTTCGAAAACTGTTGGTGTAAACTTTTTATCGATATTTTCGCGATGATGGAAATCAACACTTAGCGATTATTTGGGATATGGCTGAAAATCAACCACGAAGTCTTAGTTATATACACTCTTTGTCCTTTTCGAAGTTTCGAATAGTTTCATTCACCTATACCTATCTATTCTATCTTCTTTCATAGACTTTTTTCAACTTGAATGCCACCGTTTTTTTTCATACACTTCCCTTTAGTTGATTCTAGTGTAGCAACTGGAATAAATGCTTTTCTGTGCTAGGTCCTACGCTGATACGTTTATCTGTTTGTTTGTCGGCTTATTTTCTGAATGAGAGATACACAGAGCTGTGCACACTAGCTTGCAACCTGTTACTTCTCATCTCTAGTTCAGTTATTAACTGACGGCAGCCTTACTGGTTTACATGAATGCAGATCATTCTTACAATATCGTTCAATCACACGGATCAAGCATTTATTATTACTGTTAGAACACAAATACGGTACAGCAAAGGCACCAAGAAATGCTCCACACAATATAATAATTTTGTGTGAGGGCTGAGATACTACCCGGGCACTCAACCTGATGCAGGTGGTTGTCTTATGAGACCACTCCTCGAGCCTTTGACTTGAGGTCTAATCCACGAGGTTGTGAAACAACATCAGGAGATCCATTCCGATGGTTCCCGATGTCCAAAATAGGTTCATACGCCATTCGTTCCTTCTGGAACCTGGAACCCATATCCATCATTGGTTTGGAATCTAGGTTTTCCAACCCTCTAGATTAAACCCACTGTGTCCATCAATCCGATGATAAGCGCCGAACATCCATTTTTGTGGAAGCATCCCTGCCACGTGAAAGCAGTGAATAGGACTACTCTGGCAGAGGCTGTCGTCGTAAATCATGGCATTTGTGTTCTCGACTGAGTGGTTTCCAGTGAAAACCCTTTTGACACCACAGTTGAGAAACTGCTCAGCTGTGGGAAATGTTATTATGGACCATTTAATGTGTAAATCATTTGCTAATTGTTCACTCTATCAAACACATTAACTTCTCATCAACATCCAGAATGGTGCTTTCCTATCTCTTAACGAGCCTTATAAAACTTAATGATCTATCTCACATAACCTATGTACTAACAGTAGCTTCTAAGTTTAAATCAATTCTGGTCAAAATTTGACCGGGAATGTGAAAAATATTGGGCCTCGATTGAAAAGTCGACATTAGATATAAGTTATATTTGGATAAATCTCAGCGTGTTTGAAATATAAAATTCCAACGCTTCTTGCCGTGACAATGAGGATGAACTATACGATTTATATGACTTCCGTGCGAAACGTGGATACTTTATTTCAAACACGCTGAGATTTATGTAAGCATAAAATTTGAGCGCTATAATAGAGTATATAGATATGATGGTATGAATATGAACAATAAATGCTCCTCGAAACATTATACAGTAACTTATTCTGTATCTGTAGGGCTGATCTTAACGATGTACTTGCATCACTGCTGAGCCTAAGGAATATCTGCTTAAGGTCTGTTGCGCATAGCCATAGTGGATATTATCGGTTTAACATTGGTTGTACTATTTTCAGAATAGACCTTTTTTATTTTTACTCCTTGCTTCAGAAAAAGGTAATACCACTATAAAACTGTTATCCACAGGAAAGACTTTGCTGCTGTCACACTCCTTACAGAGCTCTCTCCTCGCAAACACGCTGTAACGGTAATCGTTTTTAGTTCAACCAATATTCAGCTGGCCTTATTGATATGATAGGATGTTAATTGTCGTATCCAACATTGCTCATTGGATCACCACGATTCAAAAACCTGATCGCTACGATAAGGTAGCAGGTATCAGTCGAGAAACACCTGTATATTCAACTATGTATACCACTTATTCTCAATTTGTCATTTCCATGATTAACGGATACTCACACATAAATTTTCTTTCCTTTTATTCCATACTCTTCACTCCTCATTGTTATTTAACATCTCATATTTCCCATGTAAATTATTGAATATTATCACCTGTATATGCTGTCTTTTGTTGAAGCTGTCGTTATGTTCGTCACCGTTGTGAAATGGAATTAAAGCCATCTTTACATTTTGAAGCTATGGCGAATTGTTTAAATTTAACCGATGTCAGTAATCTGTTGATCAGTGTTCAGATTAAAAATGTTGTCAATTCAACAGTAAGTATGGTTTTGTTTCTTTACATGAAAATTTTGCTCAAAAATATCATACGAAATATGGTAGTAATCGGTTTTTTTTTGTAAGCTAAGCTGTTAACTATTGTTTCGAAATATTTCGAACCTACCAAGTGAAAATATCTGTATCTTTCTGTACTCAGTTTCTCGCTAATGAAACTACCATGTTTACATATGCGTATCTATCGACTGGTCACCATTCCAACTGAAGTAAAAACTATTCTTTGAAGCACAATTAAATCAAGTTGACCTGGTATTGATAAGAGGATATACAGGGAAAAGATTAGTCTGGTAATGGACCAATATACTTTATTTAATCATGTCTACAATTAGACTGATCGACAATCGATCAGCCAATCAGTATCATTATTTTGAATGCTGAAATATGTAAATATTTAGATTGATTCTCCTCCATCTTCTATCTTCCTCTCAAATACACGTTTCCTACGCCTTCATTATGCCTTCACTATATGATTAGTTGGGTCGGGAATCAACTAGGAAGTTGTTGAACGTTGGTGGCTGACAGTTGATATTCATGCATTGTTAGTGGCGATAACAGTATTCAAACAGTAATAGTTAAGAGAAAAGGAAAAACCCTATCCGTCATATATCATCCACGAAAATATATACATATCGGTTCATTAAGGTTATGAAATGTATCAACCATTATACTTTCCAATACAGGCTTATTCATGCCACAACGAATTAAGTTTCGGGAAATAAGTACTTGTGGTCATTTAGCTGTTGGATTACTGATCAGATGTGGTTTGAAATTGGGTTCTCTCTCTCTCTCATTCCGATTGCTGAATATCGTGTCTATCCTTCCTGTTAAGCGACAAAAAGCTGGCTAAGTACATTACAAATAGTAGAAAAGAATTGTTGCTCAAGATAAGGATGATCACTGTTTGATGTCCTCCGATTTTTTGAAGGTTTGTTCTTCTACATCTCAAAGGTGTCATTAATGACATACCACACCATCTGACTGCAAGTTGATGTTCATCTAGGTGAACTTCGATTGGGATAAAGTGGAAATACTACGAAAAACAAGCTCAAAAACTCTAAGAGAATTCCTGAAAGCACGATAAGGAAGTTTGTGGGGGATTTCCTAATTGGTTTCAGATTGGTAATCATCATGGCCCGACAATTAGAGAAACGTTAGAAACATAAGAGCACTGGATGGATGTTTCGTCCTAGCCGCGGAACTGGAAGGTCCTAGGTTCTATCCGTGCGTGTGCACTGCTAAGGATTCCCATACTAGGACGAAATATATACTGCCCAGTTCAGAGTTTCTCCAACTGATGTCAGTCCATGATGAATACCAACCTAGAATCGATGATGAGACGTTATGTCAGCAGCGTAGGTCAAATGATAACAAAAATCATGAAGGACAACCGCTGTTAAAAAAGTAAGGTTAAGTCACTCCTACCCATAAGATCACAACCCTCTGGGTCGGCAAATATCCTTCATAAAAACTCATGCAACTTAAAAATGCTTTACTTCGTTATGACGTAGTTGCTGTTTAGGTTATGGAGCCTGTTGATGAAGCGTTCCAAGACCAATCCTCAAAGCAAGCATAACACCGAACAATTGAAATTCACCAGCCTTCGCTTCATGTGTCATAAACTTATTTACAGAACTGTGTTGTTTCTGTTTATGTGTTATTTCTCAGGTGCCTATGGCCTTTCAGATCCTGCAGATTTATTGTATCAGCCGCTATTGGAGTATAAAACCGATTGAGTCGAATTCTGATATCGGTAAGAATTACTATCATTGTTGCCTGTTTCATGTGTAAAGTTCACACTACTCACTGGTGATATTGAGTAGTTTGTATTTTTAAGGCAAAGGTTTGAAAGAAGTGTACGATCCAGATATTGTCACTTACTTATTAAGTGCTCAAGCCTTATTGTGCTAAGGCTTATTTTCATCCCTACATATGAAAAATATAGTTTTAGAAGTAACGTGAATAAAGGCAAACTAATTGTTGGATTCTAATAGATTGTCCTTTTAACGATGTATTCGAGTTGGGTTGTATCCTTGAACAAATTTGAAAGTTCTTTGTGTAATGATAAAATGAACCCATAGTCAACTTTGATGCTCTTCAGAATGCACTGTCAGTGCTTTTCTCTGAACCAAAAGCACGATGACACAACTGTGAAATAGCTGTCAGAAAACAATATATGTGACTTGGCTGACCAATTTGCAAAGGATTCTGCAAATTACCCAGCTAAGTACCTCTCCAACTGTCCAATTGTGTGTAGTTAAGAAGGTTTCTGTCGAACATTATGTTTAGTTAACTCTGTTACAAAAGCATCATAAACCAACGGAAGATGCTGCTGAAATTGACTGATCAGCGCCTTTGAATTCGTTTTTTAACTACCGTTTATTGTTTTTCGGTAGTCCATGTGATATATAGCGCTCATGATGGTGTTTATATACTATTCCACCCATCTTTGCCTGCCATAATCTACCTTTTTGTCTTGATACTATAATAATATTCATTATGTAGTTATTAATTTTCCTTCTGTATTGCTTCTGAAGTAAACTTGTGTAATATGACCTTAAGTATATAAGTAGTTAACGAACCGCTGAAAGGTGCCTTGATGGGTCTCATGATATGGGCATCTTTCAACTCACTCCTAGAAGAGTAACCCACAAGTTGGATAAATGTAACACTAATCTCAATTCAGAGCACCATTGAAAATTGATCGGATTTAGACGGTGGATCATCTGTCGACACTGCATAGTCATTTATTAATTCCTTCAAATGATGAATAACTGTGTATATAAGAAGGCTATTCAAGATACTGGTGAATATGCTGAAACAGGATTCTGACTTTACATGCTGTGAGTGAGTCAGCGAAAATCCTTTAGCATCGGTTTCGTCCTTGTTGACAGTCGTCAGCATAAGGTATCTGAAATTCTGAGGAAACTGGTGCTATCTCGGTAACTTGAACCTGTGCCATTTATTGCTGAATTCAGAGATTTGATCATAAAGTCACAAGAACGTATCGCATTTCGATATTCAATGTTGGAAAATCACGAACAGGAACATCTAGGCCACGTTTTCATCGATTACCCACTAGTGATTAGTTCCTACATATGATCCAGTCCTACATGGAATCAGTCCTGGTCTCAATAGCTTGGTCGTTAGGTCGGCTACTTCAGCATTGAGTGGCTTGGGTTCAAATCACTGAGAGAATATGTATTTTACTGGTGAGTTCTATGAAAGCACGAAACATAGGCTTAACGTGGTTTCCTGCCGATTGACTCCTAAGGTCTTACAGTGGGATACAGTACACCAAAGTGTTCTGTTACTTAGCTTAGTGTTCACATTTCAAACCTGACCAACATATCCCTTCAGTATTGAGAATAAAGGACTAAATAGCTTCTTCAGCTATCCACTAGTGACTAATTTATATCTAGAGTGTTGGTTTTAAAATGATGAGGATGAGGATTATGGTGGGTTAGTGTTATGTAAGCTTTTATATATTATCATGAACATTTCACCATCAGGTTTGGTGATATCTTTAGCACTAACTTCATATAGAAGTGAAGCTTATTCGATTTTTACACAAAGGTGTAGATAGCTCTTTTATTGACCTTAAGTGTTGTCCAGTTGTACTTTGGGGAGATGATTGTTTATCACATCCTGACCTCCTTGGCCTTAAATTCCCTTTTGGTCACACTGTCAGTCTATATCCACATATATATTGATTGACCTTTCGTCAGAATGACATGCTAAAAATTCTCTTGCTGCTTTCAAACCTACTCTTTGAAAAAGTTTCCACATTTTCCCAGTTGAATGTGTGGTCGTGATTGTCTGCTTGCACTGAAACCAAGGTTGCAGCGTCATACCACTTTATTGCCAGTTGGTGTTCATGAATCCTTTGACCAATTCAAAAGCTAGACCGTCCAACATAATTGTGTGAATAATCTTTTCAATTGATTTTGTAGATTATATTTCGCCTGTCTTCCTTTGACAATAGATCTCTTGTTTTACACAACATGCTGTGCAGTGACTACGTTGGTTTGTGTGCTATTCTGATTCCAAAAGAAGGAAGCAATCGATTGACTGTTTCTGAGATATCTTTAGGGTAACGTAACACGCCGACGGAAAATAAGTACACAGAGTGTTCAAACTTAACGATTATCCACTCAACTTTCTCAAAAAGTGTTTATCAACAGGACAGATGACGAGGAAATTGCCTCAAATCAAAAGGCATGTTAGGTTACTTTACATTATAGATATCTCAGAAACAGTAAACCGATTGCTTCGTCCGTTCGGAATCAGGGTAGCTTCGTTTAAAATCCAATTAGCTTTGCAGTTCATCAGAGCTTCGAAATTCAACTGGCTAGTTTTTATGTAGATACTTGTTAGTTATCACTGAACCTTTATCTTTCGCAACAACGTCTACATTGAATTGACGTCATTTTCTTCCCAGTTGTTATTTGATTTTGTTGTTTTCACCCTTTTTGCTTCTTCACAATCTAGACACCTTTCCCAGTATACGTACAGGGGAAATTATAACCCTTCATTTCAAGGCTAGCTTCATGAAAAATCATTCACAAAATGTTGAAGAAACAGAAAAAGAAAATGGACGAAAAAATGATACAACCATAGGTTCCGTAAATAAGTTTTTATCAACTATTCATTTCGACCACCATCATCATCATCAACAACAACAAATAAGTATGTTGCAACAACAAAGTAGTGTCTTTTTGCCCAAATGTGACAATGATGTTCAAAATTCAAGTGTAAAGCAATCCTTTGCCAATAGTTATAACAGTAAACGGACAATGATATCACCAGCTCAATTGGAGTTCTTCTGTCGATCTGGCATAAATTGGTCCAATTCACCTGTAAGTGAGATATTGAGTTCTCATTTTCTGCGTTTTTGACCTAGTTATTTATTTATCACTAGTATTATCAACCAAGCCAAATGTATAGAGCTTTGAAGCGGGGGATTTCAATTTTATCACTACTTATTGATGCTTGTCGTATGACGTTATTCTGGGTTGAATTGATCGATATCTGTTATTATATAGATTCTTTTGGGGCCCTTTATTATTACCTAGAGATTCACTGCGTTGCAATTTACTTGCTAGTAGTCAGAAGTTGAACTCATGAAACACCCTTCATTCTTTTTCGGAGTTCGTTTGCTAGATGAACTTGCATCAGTGTCAGTGGTGGTATCCAAATCTTAGGGAGAACGGCAAACATAGGATAGAATTTTTGTGAGATCAAGGTTAGATTGAATGAACACTGAAGAACTTCCATCTGGCCCCCTAAAAATTCAGTGGAGCTCATAAAATATGAAAGCACTTCACACATATTGTTCTAAACGACATAATTCCAGGTCGCACGGTTGTCTTTAACAATATGGTAGTCGTTCAAGAAGACTTTGGAAACTGCGAAGCGACGTTTCAGGGTAGAGTCTCTTCATATGCAATCAAATCAAAACTGGCTAAGTAGGAATGAAGAAATAAGAAAATAGCCTGATCTATTTTCAATCCACAAGCAAATACTTGCATAATTGACACAATGTGTGATAAAAACTGAAATCGCATTTGAAAATGTGGACTTCATTTTGCTTAGATTGAGTTACTATGTATAAGCTTGGATGCTGTTAATTCCGCTTACTAACTGACGGTTTAATAATTTTTTGAAGAAATATACTACTTAAATGCTTGTTAGTAGTTTGAGTATAATATTTCATGCAATAAGCTTGCAAACTGGGTTGTGAAGAGCTTCAACTTCAGCTTACTGTTGACTTATCAATATTGAATCTGGTGAGTTGTGGAGATTTATTAATTTATTGCAGGTTGAGATTCATCATGAACTGATATCAGTTGGAAGAACATTGGAAACCTGGGAGCACCTAACAGCTGTTTCGTCCTAGTACGGGACTCCTCATCAGTGCGCACCCACAACCCCTCCAGGGATCGAACCCAGGACCTTCAGGTTCTGCAGCTGGCATGCTATCAATATTGCTTTGATTTACGTATATTTTGATTTTCATGACATATTTTGTTTCAGAATGAACTGACTGGATCATCTTCCGACGGAGACGATTGTATGTCGTCCTTGGATATTAATCTGATCATAGTGTGGAAGGTAAACAGATTACTATTATCTTTACTGTTATTAAATTAATCCGTTTTGGGGATGGGGGGTAAAGATTGATTCTTTTCAAAGTTGTTTTTTATCACAGATTAGTAACATTTGTAGAACTACTGAAAACTTAGGAGAACTGGACAGATGTTTTGTTTTAGCTTTGAACTTAGCGGTGCTGAAAACTTATTTTTAAAATTAATGAATCCCCTGAACTTTGAAATACATTCCGGTGCTGATTAGTGACATACTTTGAGATGGATTCCCCGTTATTTTAATAAGAACTCATGAACTTTAATCTCATCCAAGTTGAGATTGAGACGAATGCCTACTGTTGACGTTGGATTGTAGTTGCCAATTGACAGAAATTAAAAAAAATGAACTGTTTGGTTACATCGTGACCGACGTAAGACGTCCCTCTTGATGTTGTGGGTAGATGCTACTGAAAAATTCAAGACTAATTCGAACTGAGAGTTTTTCAGTGGTTTACTAACCGAAGTAGTTCTTCAGTGAAAACCATTTTTAAATTATTGTTTATCTTTATCACTATTATTATTATTATTATTATTATTATTATTATTATTATTATTATTATTATTATTATGGTTATCGCTATATCTTGGTCACAGTCATGTATAACGCCAATGTATGGAAAGAATGTTCTAGTAAAAAGTGGCATATTTCACACAACTTTTAGATTTGTAAAAGGCCGAACGCGTTTTATGTAATACCCGATTAATTAATTACTCTCTTCCTCTACTCTTGATTTTACCATGATTTAGATAACTAGTCGGTCAATCAGCATGGGTTGAACAACTAGGGCGTGATACTCAGTGAATGAAACTTGATTCAAGTTTCTGCTGATAGTTGAATGCAGTGCAACTGTGGCTCTTTCTTTCCTTCCTGCCTTCTTCTTTCCTTCTTTCTCTCTTTCCTTCACCTGCACATGCTTTTACGATGTAGATGATGATCATCAACTTCTGAGACTAGTATTAGAGTTGATGTCTTTCCTCTTCCACTAACCACTCGCTCGACTTCCAACCAGCTGGTCATCATTTCGAATCGTATCATCTGCTGATGCTGGAGCTAGAAAAAAAGTAACATAACTAACTGTAACACTTAATTGATGTAGTTTACTGATTAGTACGCTAGGCTGTAAACGAATGCTCAAATACTTTCTCGTATTCCATTGAATAAATTATCTATTTTCAGTCAATCTGTGACAGGCTAGGACATTATTCTAGTGTGTTATTTAATCGCGCATAGTTGTGACATATCTTGCAAATACCTTCAAACTGTTCTGCACATGTTACTTTCAAAGTTCAATATCCAAATGCTACACCTCATGATCACGTACATGTTCCCGTACTAGAAAATGGCTAAATCTACTGTGCAGGAGTTAATGATACTGCATGTCTTCTGAAACCTTGGTAGATGTAGTGATGTTCAAACTCTGCTACTTACCAGTTGAAAGTAGATCATATAAGCCAGTGATCTCTAACTCTATTATGCTATACCAGCTTTTCATAATATTTTAAGCAAGTTTAATAGTTAGGAAGTAATTACTTAAGTTTACCTCAGTTTGAAGAGATTTCCTGTGGTAAATTATGTCATTTAAAGCAATACTGAACAGTTAACCTAGCCTTAACCTTTGCATCTTTCTTACCCGAAAGCGATAAAATTTGCAAAGTTTCACTCATTCTATTCCACTGTATTTGAAAATATTTAAGGATTCATTTCCTATGCTTTGTATTCCCTGACAGCATTCATACTGCTTCTTGGTTTTCATTGGTTCTTCAACTGACCGAAATCCATCACTAGACATTTGCATAGTTTACTGCTTGATAGCGATTCATATACATGGTCCAATCATGTTTCTTATAGAGATTCATTCATAATTTGAATAGCTTCATGATAAAATCCATGATTTTTTAGTCGCTTAACGTAAGTTTTGGTCTTCGATGAAATTCATGTTCTCTCAAGGTTGTAAACCATCATCATCATAAATATCAATCTAGGATCTCACGATTCTTATTCGTCGACCACTGACCAGTCAAATAATGCCTTTCAGTACTAGATCTCTGTCAACGGTTCAATCAAATTTTCATTACGTCAACGATTCTGAATATGAAGCTCATTGGTTTCAGCATCCGACTTTCAAGGAATACGTTTGCATTAACTCTCCACACTACATACTTTAGCTTGAGTAACCAGGTATCATCTTAAGCCCCCGCACAATAATAATGGCTTAGTACATAAATACGTGTATTGGGTTGAATCGCGTTGAGTTTCTACTTTAAGCTTATTGGTTCTAGTACCGAGGTCAACCCAGTCGATGAGGTTGTGAACCGTCACTGACTGGGATGGCTTTAACATTCATTGCACCGCTGAGGTGTCGCCTACCTCGACATGAAATCCTATCCAAAGTAGGATGTGTTAGAAGAGACCAAGACGTAGCACCAATCTTTGAAGTTTTTAATTGCTTATCTTAGTTGTTTAGGGAGGTGTAGGTTGTCTGACTGAAGTACTCCAGGTGATAGGTAATCAATGGTTGGAGACTCTCAGTGTGATAGGCCTAGAAACTGACATCTTTAACTTTGTCCACATTTTTACTGGTCTTTATTTATTTCTTCTCCCTCTCACCATACACTTTCCTCTACTCCTTTTCGATCCATTTTCTCTTTGCAAGGTAGGTTGATGTGTGCGAACTTTAACTCAGACACCTTTTTTCACAGTTTGTATGTCAATTTTTTCATCCAATTCTAATGTGTAACAGTCACTGAAATGTATTTCTTATCACATGAATGGTAGTAACAGACAGTTCACTCGTTTTTGAAGCCACATATCATATTCAGCTTGTAAGCAGATAGTATGTAGAAAGAACTTCTGGGGATATGAATTTCATGAAGCCAATAGTTACAATTTTGATATATCTGCAACGTATTCAACCATTGTGTTTTAACTGCTTCTTGGTGTTGTTTAAGATTTTCTGTTGTGAAGTTTTCTGTTTTCATCCTGTATTTCCCCCCGTTTATTCTTCGTATGTATGTCTGTGTAGGGTGTATCGGAAACCCCATCGAGTAATCTTCATCATCAACCTATTTGGGGACAAAGTCATCTACGAATCAATCAACTCAATTATTCTGTACAAATTCCCTATCAATGTAATAATACCAATGTAAGAAACGGTCGGTTTTATTTTTTCTTCTCCTTCGTTTATTTTGAAGAATTGGTTTTTCTTTATGAATCCTCTAATCACTTTATATTTCATGGTAATACGTAATACTACTTAATGTCTGGTATTAAGTATATCTTTTTTGTTTGGTTGAGTAGAGGCTAACAGCAGAATGAAGCTCAACATATTGGTAGACACTTACATGAACAGGCACAGGTCAATTCGGTTTTGTACAGTAGACAACGGGAAATTATAAGCACAAATAGTAAATATCGATCTAGCGTTTCTACTAACTGGGAACATAATCATTCATTGTAGTGTAAATGCATCCATCTGGTAATTCTTGAATAGGATGACACAAGCATCCGGGACCTCACTGCTATCCAACATTAACCAAATGGAACTTGATTTCAGTTCATAGAGTTTTCCTAAAGCAGATGTATCAGTTTTATAACAATAACATAGAAGTGAGAGTAATCTATGTGTATGATTAAATACTCAATGGTTTCATACGACTAGTTCCCTTCAAAAGTTTTTAGCAAGGCCAGAAAAACAAGTTTTGCAGAATACAATGAATTCATTGTATTTTGTCGCCTTTTCTTCAACTGCATGTAGGCTATAAATTCATAAGATATATATATATATATATATATATATATATATATATATATATATATATAGAGAGAGAGAGAGAGAGAGAGAGAGAGAGAGAGAGAGAGAGAGAGAAATACAATCCAAATAATTCACTTATCAAGAAAATGATAATCCATTGATGAGAGAGATAGTGATGGAATTGATACAGATTAAGGAAGTTTCAAATGAAATAATTTGTGATGAATAAACCCGAACTTATCTCTTATGCTAATATAGCCAGATTGTCGTCCTGCTACATTTGACGACCAATCAAAACGTGGATGACGAATGTGTATATAATGATTTAATAATGTAAATATAAGGCCAAAACATTTGTTGGTCAAGTCAATGTGGGTCAAGTAGTAAACTGGTGGAGATTAAATAGGAATTAATTGTGAAATTGGTTGTAAAAGGGGGATGAAAATATAGAACTAGGAAGGGGTTATATTGAATGATCAAACAAATCAATGGCTACCATGGAAATTTGAAGTTAACAACTTCCTCTTATTGGATGCTTAAGCTTTTGGTGATAATTACTTCTGCGAATCTTGATAACTTGGCATTCTTTTGTTTGTTAGTTATTTTGAATCCCACCGAGATATGAACTTCGTGTATCCATCTTAGGTTTAGTAAGTGAACTTTTAAAGCACTTTGGCTCTTTTAAGCTTAACTTATTTGTGTTCAAGAAATCTAGTCACAACCCTCCTCTTTATCGTTCCAATGTACGCACTGTGAGATGTACATGTGAATTGATAGATAACAATTTAAAGTGACGTCAGACCTATCGACTTTCCATTGATGTAGTGAACACTTCGTGTTGCATACAGAGACTAATTAAGTTGCTTGTAAGGTGACTTTTAGTGCAGTTCTCTCTCTTCTGTTAACTCTGTTCATAAGTTCATCCCTTTTGAAAGTCAGATGAAGGGACACAGGTTTCGTCTCAGAATCATCAAGTACACTTGCTTCCGCTGTTCTCATTTGATCCTATCTATAGAGACTTCTTAGGGTAACCATTTTCTTTCACACATCTCTCGATGATCTAAATTTCTTCAGTCAGTTTGTCCAAGAACAAAGCTTTTTTAGCCGTTTAAAATATCGTTTCAGTTAGTCCTTGCTTATAATTCATTGGATAGAAACTGTTAAAATGGAGATACTGTCAACTCCATGTTTTTTTCTGTAGACAGATTTCTGGTACGACCCATTGTATTCATTATATATTCATGTATTCATCCAACCGTCACACTTCTATTATCTGTTAGTTTTAAGGTAGGAACGGCAGTCGCGTAAATTCATTGTCATCAAATACTATTTATCGACTATAACAGAATATCCCAAGGTTGTTTACAGTTTATTCCCTATGATTACTGAAATTCGCTCATTCGGTGAAGCTATAGCTGTTCAATTTAAGTAATCGACTATCACCCAGCGTGTTGTTTCGAACCCTGCTCTCCACCTATTCAGGTTTCGATAGTCGGTTAATATCATCAACCTTCATACACACACTGTCCTTGACATGGATATTATTTAATGATAAACTAACCAGTTGATCTGATACTAGATGATCATGGATTTTCGATACATGTAACGACTTTTTCACCAGGGGTCAATATCACATAATAATAAAACTCAACCGCTAGTTTGTGCGTATTGATTGATTACGAAGCCGTATTCATTACGGACTGATATCGATTAAATAGCCACTGAAAACTTGACGCACTGGATAGATGTCTCGTTCCATTCTGCAGGGGCTCCTGAATACTGTACACTATTGCAATTCACTCACTGAATATCGATTGTGAATCGAAACCTATAATCCTCACACTATTTTTTGTGGTAAACGATTACGAATCGGCATATCGTGTCAAGCATCGATAATACGTTTGGCACTTCAAATTGCTCGATACAAAGTCTCTGAGGGTCATGTACTCAACTAACTACAAATCGGTCATTTGTGAGAGCACAGTTCAGAGGTATGAAATTGCACACATAAAAGTTTTGCCTTTTTCAGATCACTTTCATGACTTTAATCGTATTAGAGCGATTTTATTGCCTTTCATTTTTTTCTTTTTTACCCTGCACTTAGAATATAACTGGTTTCGCAACCTATAGAAGAGAGTATCAAAAGCACAGGAGACGAAGAACAAGAAGAAGACCACAAAAAGTGGAAAATCATCTTAATAAAGACGAATCTAACCAACTCCAGTATACAGAATCTGATTTAGCTAACTTAGTAAGATTTCGGCTTGACTATCCTAGACATGTACGCTGCTCAAACGTCTGTGATGAAAGGGATACTGTTTTAAATAAACTTGACGATGATGATAGCAACAAGAATAACCGGCGTCATCATTGTCAGAATATTGACAGTAGTAGTTATACATACTCTCAAACATTCAGTCATACAAATGGTATTCGATCCCCTCTGGATTTAAATTTTTCCTGCCAATCACCTTCAATCCTTCATTGTGAACCAAATCGACTTTCATTTCGTGAACAGACCAAGAAATTGTAAGTTTTTATGCTTAAGATTATACATATCACTTGAAGTATTATTGTGAATGATAAGAATTAACTTGGTGATTCAGACATGCCCTGTGCATACATCTGAGACTGTTAGAGCAAGATTGAGAAAACCTCAGAACGAAAAAGTGGAGATAGGGGACGATAGAGATAAACAGCATTGGATGTGTTGATTAATACTTGTAGTTTCCTGTTGCCATTCTGAGTTGCATCACTCAACCTCTGGTGAATTGGATGTGGACGATACAAAGCTGCAGAACCTGACAGTTTGCCACCCGAAGTTTTCAAGCATGGAGGCAGGAAATCGCTGATTAGATTGACGGAGGTACTAGGTAGTGTATGTGTACCAGAGGTGGTGCCTTCAGACTGATGTACTTCACTGGTCATCCCTGTTTATAAAAAGAAAGAAAAGTCTTTCTGTGACAACCATAGGAAAATTACTACTGTGTCCAGGACCATGGGGTTCATAGTTATCCGATGCCTAACTAGAGCTCGAGAATAGAAAACTCGAGTTCAAACGGGTTTCAGACCTGGATGAGGATGCATCGATCAGATATTCGCTCCTCAGTAGGTTCTGGGACACAGACGTACTTACCGGTCAATGACCGAAACTTGCTTTATTTGTTGACCTGAATGCAGCATTTGATTCTGTCAACCGTGAGTTGTTGTGGCCTTGTCTGACTGTGAAGGGAGTCCCATAAAAGTATACAATCCCAATGAAGGCTCTCTACTTGAACTCATGCAGCCGTATGAGGGCCTATAGAGAGTTTTCACATGAACTGACCACAACTAGTGGTGTCCGGGAGAGATGTCCACTGTTACCGTTCCTATTTAACTTCGTCATAGACGTACTACTGGACATAACCTTAGTAACATCTGACTTCACATGAATTGGCCTACACCTCAGAGGTCATCTAGTTGACTTGGAGTATGCAGAGGAAATCGTTTGCTGGTGAAAACGCTGACAAAATGCAGGGTCATTTAAAAGCATTGGGTATAAATCTGTGTATGTTTGGCGAGCGTCTCGCACCTGTCAAACGTAAGATAATGCTCCAGAACTGATTTACAACTACTCCTATTTTAAAGATAGGGAGTGAAGTGGTTGAATGTGTCGACCACTTCACTTACTTGAGGAATTACATGAGCCCAAACGAGTTATTTGCTAACTTGATATCAGCAAGTCATTGGACAAGGTCGTGAACCTCGAGCGACTGAGAGGGCTTGAAAATGTGTTGAGCAAGCTGAGCCTGTCTTTCTCGACGTGTGATGTTCGGCAAATATGGATTGTGTTGTTGGAAAGCTAAGAGTGGTCAGACCACGATATGGCATCAGTTGATGAAGTGTTTGATTGTTGGTTTGAGGCATGTAAGGCGGTGTTGAGTGCTCGAGATAATAGGAAGGAATGTTTGAAAACTCTTGCTGATATGTCTGGAAGTTGTTTATAATGACATTTATGGATTTTTCCTACCTTCATATCAATCTTTTCCTATCCACTTCTTCTTGGCATGCTACTGTGAAATGGTGCGGCTTGAACTAATTTACTTCTGTTCCAGGTTATATATTGTTCTGTCTGCCTGTGCCGCACTTGGAAGTTAGCCGGTCACAGTGTTGTGGGGACTGGTGTAACCAACTGACTGCTCACACCTTTGCAGGTGGATAGGATTTCCAACTTCTACTCGTGTGTTCCGAAGGCGACTGCTTTGACTGATGAGCAACTGCTTCACATAGTTGTATATCCGTGTATTATACTGCATTCAATGGAACTACGCTACCTAGATTCGAGAACTTCGAATTTATTTCGGAGAAATCCGCAGCCAACACGATTCTCCAACAATAAACCAAACGCTCAAGTTACGCATAAAATCCAAAACAAAAGATTTGTCTGAAATATGCTCTTGTAATAATAAACAGTAGTGACTGATAAATTACAAACGTCAAATTTTGAGGTATCTTTGGGTTTGTCGCTATCAAAGCACCTTAATACGTCAACAGTGCAACCAGCAAGACTGTATCGGAAGCAAACCAGACGAGAATATAAAAGGTGTGCGTATGTTCCGACGATGACCTAAAGACACAAGATAAATAAATGTTCAAGGTAAAATGGAACATCAGGAAACACCAAAAGAAATCCCTACACCGTCATGAAGCAGTTAAATGATGAACTGGATACGTTTAAATAGAGTGGACAACCATATTGAGAATGATGTAACTTTATAGGATAACATAAACCATACTACTCAATAATACTGAGTAGAATAAAACTCTTAGGGTATAAAAAGAGATACGAGGGTAATATCAAACAGGAACAAGCGAGAAAGGAGTTAACATTACTATTATTATTATTATTATTATTATTATTATTATTATTATTATTATTATTTGCTGCTATTATTACTCGTGCTTTTGTCTTCAAGTATGGTAACAATCTCTGTACAAGCTGAAGTGTACAACTCTTCGAAATGGCCTATCGTTGTACAGTTGGATATGAATAATAATGGTGATAATACCAATAAGCAATCGAGGTAAGTCGACTGCTTTGATATTATCCTGTGGTAGCGTTTTATGTAGCTTTACATATGTATTCAGCCTGCGTCATCATGATTGAAATCCGCCTAGTTGCCTTTGTTTACACTTTTCTTCATCAACAGCATATCGGGTTTAGTCAAGTCGTTTTCTTGTTTAGTGGAATGACTATATGGATAATGTGCATAGTTGAGTTGAGCCAGCTAGTAAATCAACCACGAAAATTCAATATATTCTGAACTTTACTAACGATAATGAAGTATTTTTATACAGGTAGTTGGATTCCAATCTTGTCATATACGCCTTTAGATCTAGATGCCTAGAAAAGACTTGTCGAAGTATTTAGCGTGCGTTTCTGAAGTGGCGTAGTAAACTCTCTCTCTTTCTCTCTGTTTCCTTTTCGCTTAATCATTTTACAATGTGGTCACCAACCTACGAAACTCATTGTCGCGGTTCCCTTTTGATTAATATTAAGCAGTTGGAGATAATCAACAGAAAGGCCAATTTAATCTAGGTTTTATGCTTCTACACACTTTTCTAGATGTTCTATTGACAAGCGAAATGGAACTATTAAATCAAGTGTGTATTGGAAACAAATGTCATCCATTCAGTATACTCACTTCCTGGACTTTGTTTTCTTGGTAGTATCAACTAAGTTCACTGGACTGGATATGTAACTTAGACGATACTTTCGGTGACGACCTCAAAACTATCCGTGAACTACTCTCGATAGTCATGCGCATTTAGTGCTTTCCCCACCTAAACATATAAATACATCTAACATGTGTCAGAGTACCGACAGCTTCCAAAAAATTTGTTGTTTTTTAAAGCTACAGTTTTTGGATGTCATTATCAACGAAATTTTGACATAAGGCCTAGAAAACGTTTTGTAATGATCATTCAATGCAGTGAACGTATGCTACGTATTCTAAAGTCCGCGTATACTGACTTGCAACCCGAAGATAAACTGTCTGACTTCACGTCTTTTATATGTGTTTATCACTTTAGCTGCTTCTGTAGAGCATGTTACATTGGACATTCGGTTAAGCGAATCCGTCATGTTCTAGTGATGTTACCGTGATGAACTCTCAGAGTCAGTTTACGATAAATTGTCATAACTTAAGAGACGCACTCAGCAGCCTTGTGCACATTCATGCAGTAGGGGACGAGTTACACATATTGTGTGATGCCTAATGAGTACTGTCTAATTACCCAAACCTCGGTAGGTGGAGTTGGGTTCGACTCCGTAGCCCACTGGTTTGAATATCATCTCAAGTCACTGCGGTTACGGACGAGTAAGGATTTTCCTGTGTCTATCACTTCTGTGTTTCTGAATGATGCCTATGAGTTAGTAAACATCGATATCTGTATTAGGAAGAAACGTTTAATAAATTCGTCTTCTCGTGATAGACTAGTATTCTGTTGTTGTATTTATACAGTTCTATACTTTTAATTAGTCGGTTGCATTTTCACTTTAAGTCTATCAGCTAAATTTGTCCGGGTACATCGCTGCTGATGAGCTAATCATCCAACTAGCGAAAAGGCCATCAGGTGTTTAGGTCCCTTAGATCTAATCAGCGAAATCTGGAGATCAATATAAGTGGTTTGTCACTACTAGTTTTCTTCTCTTTGATCTTCCTGCCCCTTGTATTGTGATGTGCTCATGTGAAGTATGGCACTTTGAATTGTTGCTCGATATTACCAGGTCACATGTTGATAGTAACTACTTAAACTCGTCGTATTGTGTTTGGAATTAACCAAGGATAAGTAACGTTTTTAAGTAAGAGATTGTTTGACTAACGTACACCCGCATATAAGATAAATGGAATTGATCGATTTGTAGATATTTCTCCTACTGTCATTTTACTGCCAGTCTAAAGCGGTACAAACCAATAGCTCCATCTATCAACTGCATGCAGATTTGTATACTATCCTACAATCAACAGCTTCTGTGACAGAGCTGAAAACAATGCCTGACTCACTACTCGAACCTTGTTGAACGAAGTGGCGTTTGAACCCACAACTCAGTCGCCTGCTAAACCCTAAGAAGCACAGGTCTATGGTAAGCACTTCAGAGAATAGGGGAATATCTTTGCTTTCTGTGACCAGTTTATATTCACCCGATAGGTAGTAAAACGGGAGGAATTAGTAAAAAAAGCCAGTAAATATTCATATTTAGGGTAATTTATCTAGACTGTACTTTTGATTTGCTGACGTTTCACTGTCGAATAGAGAGACCGCGTAAGTTTCTCTTGTCAAACCAACAATCAGAAATTCATTTATGAGAAACTTTCAATCTTTGCATGACTGTGCATATTCCAGCTAAATGACAGACTCTCGTAGTACTATCTTCACCTTGAGTGTAGAGAAGAAGATACCTTGAACATTTAACGTGTAAGTTTGTTTTTCTGCCGTATAGTTGGATGATGATATTCCGTAATTTGCTTCATTTTTTTGCAAAAATTTCTTTTCTCTGTATTAGATGTGAACCCGTCTCTGCAGGATCCCCTATATCATCAACCGCAAATGGGATAGTTCTGCAACAACAACAACCACAACAGCAAATTAATCCATTCAGGACATATCCTTCATCGTCTCTCCACATTAGACCATTAGATCCTCATGATAGTACACCTTATATTCCATCATTGATATGGATTGGTTTAACTAAACTTGAATTCCATCTAAAACCTTATGAAACCAAGTGTGTAACATTGAAGGCACTGGCACCACGACCTGGAGTCTACAATGTGTGCACGGTGACTGTGAAAGCAGCCTTTTTGCTACCCTGTGATTCTCATTCCATTACACAAGTGGAACATAGCCACTCATCATTTATCACTCAAAATATTCTCCCATTGTCTACTTTTAAAAATCATAATGTGTCATCTTTGATTATTGTAGAATAACATTATCGTTATATATATGCACACACACACACACACACACATACCTACTCACGGATGCCAAAAGTGTCGGTTACCTTTCTTCCACCCTTCTCATCCTCTTTCTCTGCAAATGTGCATACTACTGATGTTGAGTGTTTTCACCTTCCTTGGTTCGCTGCTGCAGTTGTGCATATTTATATGATTGTTGTTGTTCTTGGTGTCCTTGGTGTTATTAGTTTAGTATTAGAGATCGGAATTGTAAGTAGTATAATACTCCAATCCCTTTGCTTCTTGACTTGTAGTAAGGCTAAAATCACCCATGATGTGGATCCACACACACAAACACCACCTCTCCACTGAATTTCTCTTTGGAAAGAATATTTCTTCTTGATCGACAGACGTAGACAAATAGCTGGACACACTTATTTCTCTCTAGTTCCGGATACTTTTTTCTTGTATGCACCTGTGACGTTTGTGGTATAATTTAGAGGGGCGGAGGTGGTGGTGCAGCGAACTATGTAACCGGCTAGCTGGATGTACACACTTTCTGGTTGCTTTCGTCCCTTTATTATAGCATGCATATTTCGTGATTAGATGTCCAGTCCCTTTTCTCTGTCTGCTATTTAAATTTGGAGGCTTTTTATAAGCCTAATGAATACCTTGTTACATAATGGTTACTTTGTGTGTGTGTGTATATGTGTGTTTCTGTATCTATCTAGGCTTGATTCCACCTGGAGTACTGTTATCACATACTTTAAAAGTAATCGGTTTATTTTCTCAGCGTCTTTCACTCTGTGTTCACACATGTTCCTATCCATCATCTCTCCCTTCTGGTTGTCTCGGTAACCATCTCCTACAGTCTGCCTCTTCCTTCACCTTCTCTCTTGGAAGTGGACTCTGCAAAATGGATTTATCTTCGTCTTCAGTATTTTAACGATAAATGAAGTATGTGTCTTTGCTATATTTTACATTTTCTTGTTCTGTTTGTGTACGTGTCTGTGTGTGTTGGTGTGTTTCTCTACAAAAAGGTCAGTTTTTCATCCCTGCGACAAAACAACATGGGGAAAAAACCGAAGCAAATAAACCCACCATAAACCAATGTCGAGACAATGTTTCTCTGGTGATTATATGATTTGTAAAGGCAAAAATATAGAAATATGAAATATGTTTTTAATTGATGAAAGTTCCACTGTTTTCACATTGTTCCTTATTCATTGATCCGCTAGTATCGCCTGGTTCGAAAGCAGTAGAAGAGGAGACTGGGGTGATGACTTTTCATTTCCTCTTTCTTTCCCCCCCCCCTCTCTCTCTATCTCTCTGTTTTCTAGAGACTGATGAAGGTGGGTTACTGGATTGAATGAATAAAGAGCTCAGTAGTTTTCTGTAGATGGTTTTATAGTAATCGGTATACCCTTTATGAACCACTGAGTCCTACTTCAGTTGATGCATATTTGTCACAGTAATCAACTCGTGAGTCATCAGAAAGTAGTGTCTTTTCGAAATCTTTCCATATAATTGAGAAAATTATCTTCAGCCAACTAATGAGTGTTGATAACCATCTTTTTTCTGTTTAATTGATGATTTGAAGGTGAAAGTAGTCTCTGACTATTGATTCGAGTTGTGCAGGGGAATGTAGTTTCCATGCTGAGATATTTGTGATAGCCGAAATCTGTTGTCAGAGAGTTGAAGTGGTATGGTTCAGAACCAATCTCATTGGTGCAGATGCATTCACGCATTATCTTCATCCTAACGGTCGTTTTACACTTCGTGATTTGTCTTACCTCCTCTTCTACTGGTGTATTCCTGGGCGCCTGTGAGATATCTAACTGCTTATTGAAGAAAGAGGATACTCGCCTCCAGTCCATGCTGTCCTGTTGCGCGGCTACGAGATATGGTCACTGAAGAAAGATGGTATGAAGAGACTACAGGTTTTCGGTTATTAGTGTCTTTGTAGCGTTAGTCACTTGTGATTAGATCACTGGGCTAATAATTTTGAGGTTAAAAGTAGAGTACTTTACCATGAAGGCAAGATAGTCGCTGCAATTTTGAACCTTCACCTACTAAGGTGACATGGACACGTGTTATGCACACCGAACCAATGCCTATCTTGACGTGTGATGTTAGGTAAATTAGGATTGTGCTGTGGGAAAAGCTAAGGGTGGTTAGAAAAAGACGTGGCACCAGTAGATGAAGTGTTTGATTGTTAGCCTTAGTCGTGTTGGCTGACTATCTGGGATCATCGAGGTGATAAGTGTAGGTAGTTGGATACTCTTGCTGACATGACTGAAAATCTGTCACAATGGTGCACATTTATTCCTTTCTCGATATCTCCTAAAGGTTGAGCGTTTTAACTAACCTTAATATTTCGAATTGTCTCTGTCTCTAAACACTTTTGTCTATTTTGATATAAGTCTTTCTCTACCCACTTGTTGTTTCCATGCTACTGTGAAGTGTAGTGACTTGAATTGATACACTTGTGTGCATCGTTCTACGTTGGTTTCTTCGTCTTTCTGAATTTTCGCAAATCTCATTACTTTTTGTTTCTTATTTCTATCTGTGGTCTTATCCTCTTGTATCTCGACATGCTGATGCTAGTTGTGATGATTTTGATCGTTACACATTATTCCTAAGCTCCATATTGGCTAACTTAGTGAATATCCTAAAATGATTAAGTTTGGGCTTATTGGATAGTTGAATCAATCCCAAAAGTTCATACAATAGCTCTTAGTGTTATCACTTTGCCTCGGAGTACTAATTACTCTGAAAAGCATCAACTTAGTAAATAAGAGATTACTGATACTGACCTATTCATTAAACTTGAGATTATATAAGTCGGCGATGATAAACCATTGTAGACCGATGTTGATAACTTTGAACAACCAGTCACAATTTTCAAAAGTTATGAACACACTTTTAGAATGAAGATGTTCTTTAGAAATGTTTAGAAGTAGGAAAACGGTTAAATGCTGTAAAAATGTTTCGCATTCGGGTATTAGTAAAGGAATTGAATCAACTTCCATGAATGTACTCATGTGAATGACTACGTCATTTTGTTTTGTGAGCCCTTCCTCGCCTTGATAAATTGGTTAAATTCTTCCTTCACCCCTTCGGAGGGATTTTTGTGAGTCCTAGATATGCAGTTCAGAGTCTGATGATGATGAATAAAGTCGATAGAGGAGGGTATGTAACCCACTTATCTGCGTGTATTTTTGTTCTAGACAAATCTTTTCTTTTCCGAAGGTTGTATCATATATCTCTGAAAGTTGATTGGCATTCGTGACTCATGTGACCTGGCAATACTAGTGTATTCTGATTGGCTGCCCAAGGTCATTCGTTAACTCCTTGGTTTTAGTTAACTACTGTGGTTTATTTTCGCCAGCGTGGTCGTTGGAAAACAAACATTTCTCTTTAGCAGCTGTTATACATGTGCTAGAATGATGATGATGAATGTTAGCTTTTCCATCTAACTAGATGTAAAGAGAAAACCTACATCTTGGAGATTGATGGCAATCTCCTTACGCGTATATTTCACCTGTGAAATAATTTGTCATCGGGCTGGCATCTACATTAGCAACTATCCATTGACCAACTCATATATATAGTTCAGTTCTGAAAGTGGTTTTTCGTATTTTTGATTGACTTAGCGGTCACATCAACACCTTTAGCATCAGGTAATGCACATTTGAATCTCTGAGAGGATATGAATCTCTTAAACGTTTCTGATGAGTCTCAACATACAGAATTCAGGTTGAACAGTAGTTTTGGCCAGTTAACTCCTAACTACTAGAGTTTCATAGATAATCGAATATTCGGACAATCAACTACTCAGAATCCATTTATACATTCCGCATTGAATTCTCATACTCCACAAAGGAAACTGAAACAGAGATAGAGTATACCACGGCATTGTATGCCCCAAACTGGCTTTGCTAAAATACTTTTTCTTCAATTCATAAGGTCATTTACTGTTGGTTGATTATATGATGAAAGTCATAGAAAATTTGAACAATCAATATGGTTAGATGGTTAGGTCGTACTGAAGTGAATATCCCAAGAAGCTCTAAAACCAAACACCGGCTAGATTTCAAGCATAATATAAAGGCTATCGAGTCACTAACAATAGTCACTAAATAACAGAATAAGAAGATAATTGGAATCGTAGAAACCTGTATGATTCAGGCTCATAAACCACCCCTGCTTGTGCTCAGAAAGAAATGGATTTTATAATTGTAGAGCTTGACAACCAATAACGTTCTGTTTTTTAAGAAATTAACATGCTAGTCGAAATACAGAAACGTGATTGGTTACTTCGTTAGTTGTAAGGATGGCCTTTGAAGTCACTCCAGGAAAACTTTTATGTTGCTGAGCCTAATTTTTTGTCCTTGAGATACAAATACCCTTGTGAATTTCACCTTTTATTATACCATCACAGTATGCATAACTAAATATGTAGAGTTCTGTTGGAATTTATGAATTCATTATATCCTAATTTCCATACATTTGTTGCTTGTCTTAAATTCATAACGAGAAAGAAATATTTTCCATTAAATCATTGCATCTTTGCTGAAAATAAACGCTGAGTACAATACTTAGTAAATAAAGTGGAACCGAAACTTGATAAGCAAGCCACTTTCAACAAACTGCTTGTCTCCCTTTACTAAGGATTTAGTAATATCAAGATCAACACAAATGGATTACTTTGTTAGATAATCACCATGTAAGCAATGTCGAAGTTTGGCTAAGAGACCTAGACAAGAAGGGCTTGTCAGTTAATGAGATTGTGAACCTTCAGCTACTGAGGTGGCTCCGATATATACTTTGCATACCGTGTCATCGCCTAAGTCGAAATGCAACGCCAGGCGAAGTTTGATTAGGCTGGAAGAGCATGCAGGTTGGGGAGACCAAGACATGGCAGTAGTCCATGTTATCCGTGACGGTTAGTCGTCTGGGTTGATGTAGACTGCCTGACTGAGGTCTCCGAGATGACAAGAATAAGTGGTTGAGGACTCTAAGTGACATAGCTCGAAATCGGTCAGAATGGCGCAGATGTATTCACTCCTTGAGGTCTTCTAAAGGATGTACGTTTTGGCTGACCATTTTCAAATTCGTTCACCTTGCATATACCTCTGACTGGTTCCATATCAGTCTCCTTGTATCCACTTGTTGTTTGAATGCTACTATGTGAAGCACAACAACTTGAGGTGATGCCTTAGTGAGAGGGGTTCTACGTTGAATTTGTCTTTCTTATCTATCTATCTTTTCGGGGATTTCATTCTCAAGGCTGTACAATCGCAAATTTATGAATTTTTTTAATGTTACGGTTCGACAGTTAAAAGTGATTTGTCAAGCATAGCAACAAAACTAGTGTCAGTATGTCAGCTGTTATTAAAATCAAACAAAAAAAAGAAAAGTTGTGACGAGTAGTTAATACTTATCAAAATATGACGAGCTCTATAGAGAATAATAAGTTTCCATAAGTTGAAAACGGGAAAAAGGAAGAGGTTGTTTCGAAGACTGTAGAGTAAGACTTTGAAAGAAGAAAGGGTTGAACAATCTTCTTTTGATAACGAAGTTTAAGCTTCTCCATACGGAAGTTCAGAGATACAGAAAAGTCGAACATGTATAATTTTCGGAAGGTTTCTTTCCGCTTTACAAGTAAGTCTGAACGAGGAGATTCTTGAGACAGCAACTCACGTTCAAGATGTGTTGAATTATACGACTTTCTATCGACCCACTGTAACTGCTTTGTAACCACCCAGGATAGTGCACAGTGCCACAGATCTCCTTGAGAGCTTTTGGCTTTATACTTTTGTCAGTGAAGCGTAATAGGAATCCATTTTCGATCAGAATGTTCCTCAGAACAGAAATTTCCTCTCCAAACACATCGGTACTACAGGTTCGTCTTGTGCGAGTGGCAAAAGATATGATCGAATTCCGTTCGCGACTCATGAACACCCAGCTATGAAGCCTCACCAATTGACCACTCCATATTGGTTTTCTGTCAATTCATCCTTTTAACCTTTTATCAGCTGTACGTCGAGAAAGTGGATTTTTGATCTCAATGGTGAATTTAATTGCTGAATGGCAGCTATTTGTGAAAAGTGATTCAGTTTACATTGATTATCAGAGATAATAAAAGTATCATCAACGTACCTTTTGTATGATTGAAAACTATCAATCATTGGTTTCAAGGGTCCGTTCTGCAAACTTGCCATAATTGATTTTAATGATGGCTCATGTATTGACACTTTTTTTGTTGCCATGCTTGACAAGCCACTTTTAACTATCGAATCCTTACACAAGGAACATGTATATATTTGCGATTGTACAGCTTTTAGAATGAAATCACTGAAAAGACACTTCACTGACATACTTGTTTTTCTTTCATATCCTGATTCACAGCCATGTTGTTTTGTAAATAATAATCTGCATTGTAAGTAAAGGATACAGTGGATAGTCAAAAAACTAATCCACCTGTTAACTAAAGATCTGTAGACTATTAGACAAAATTTATTTGCTGAAACTCTGTAAATGTGTCTGGTGACATTTCGAATTCACTCTAAGCTTGAAAAGATACTGATACTTTGAACAGCTGACGCATCTTTAATCAATTATTTTAACTGCATAATTAAATCAACACTTTTTTTTGCTTATGAAATATATTTTCTGATAAAATGTAGCATATCTGAAGTTCTGATTAGAATTATAGTGGTAAACTGTCACATCGATTCTGATCCTTATTATTGGCCAGTTGTTTAGAGTTATTTGATTGGTCAGTTGGGAATGTTACTTATAAGGCAAGTCGCACCACTCATTGACCTAGGTTAGGAAATTATTGAAAACTAGGAATGACGGGAAATAATTCCATCACACGTACTCAAACTTTAGCATGCTATCTTCCGGCATTCAGCATCTTTTTTCCGTTGATGTAAGGGGCAAAACATGCACGTTGTAATTGATAATAGTTCCATATCAGTCCCTTTTATGAATTTTGATAGAAGACGAAGTTTATCTGAACAATGCGATGTATTTGCACAATACACTTGGAACAAACTGACCATACACCTACTTGTCTTCACTTCAATTTATATTAAACCGTTGAAAGGCAGGGCAAATATAATAATTACAAGAATAGGAGATTAAAATTAAAAGCAGTTACAGTGGATCAATAGAAAGTCATAAGGTATAGAATGTCGTCTTCAATGGGTATCAAAAGAGAAAATGATTGACTGGCAAAAGTGTTCCATCAAACAAAACACTACAGGCAACAGGCAGATGAAGCAGAAGGGATTGAAGGTGAATGAAGCTAGAAAAAGAATATATATATAGGATACCAATGTTTAGCGCAGTTACTTCACTGTTCAAATGTGTTCAAATGATGATGGTATGTGTTCACCCTGAAGATTGCGACAATACTTAGCTGTAATCATAAGTGCGAATACACGCATAATATCTGAAAACTGACATTTCGGTTCACTTAAATGAAAGGTTTCAACTGTAGCTAATATTTAGATAGTAATAATGGATATTGACTATGAGTTAAAACTGCTACATGCATTTCACCCTAAAAGAGATCCATCCATCAGCTAGATGTACCCACATCCCAATGAGCAACAGCCGCTTCGATAGTAATAATAATAATAATGCAACAAGAGCACGCCACTGTCTGTCACCTGCTTAGGAAGAAAGGAAATCCATAGCAGTATAGCGTGGATGATGTTAAGAACGGAGACAGTTCCTGGAAGCCAACACTTTTAAAAATGGAATGCAAGGGTGGCATTGTCAGTGAGATCATCACACAACGCATAAGATGAGCCTTTTAAAGAGCACTTTCAATCGCTAGATCATCTCCTATGCTCTACAACAAGACACTTCTATACGCAAGTAATAAAGAGACTCTCTGATTCTACCAGTTACACGTTTACTCTCTAGTTCAAATGCTTCTGTCAATCTAGTTACATCGGCCATCAGATGGAGACAGTTTATCGTGGGATTTCTGAGCATAACGCATCATGACTGAATAAGAGACAGTAGAAAAATGAAGAGTTGTAATGTTGCACACCAGGAGGACACTAGCAAAGGTTGCGAAGTTATTTATCGTACATCAATAAATTTACCAGATGGAATACTCATTCGTGTGCTTCATACATCAGAGGAGACTGCTATCCAACTTTACAAATTGAACCTCTGGTTTCTTATTCTTATGTAACGAAGAAAACCCCACTCACTTTACTAGTTACCATGCCATTCTCCAAGGAATAATCTGTTTCAAATTATTATAATTACTATTTTCAACTCCGTATAATTACTTTATTGATTATTGGTATCTTGACTTGATACTGGATGATTAGTGTAGGTGGAATGAAAATGTAGGCAGTGGCAGTACTCGAACCGGCTATATCCGGGTTATCTGTCTGATGTTCTACCAACTGAGCTACAAAATCAGGCTGCTGACCAGCATTTTTATTTCATTTCAGTTGCCAGGGATATAACCCGACGACTATCATGTGAATTTATGACACGTTACTAGCGCTTGATCATGCTCACACTTGACTTCTCAAATGTATTATCCCCATGCCCTACTTAAACTCTATAATAATTGTTAATCGACCTCGCTACCACCATCAGCCCCTCAGTCGGATTTCAATGGTCCACAACTTCGTAATTCTGTCAATTCGCGAAACATAGCGACCATCCACTGATATCTTTAGTTGACAACAGCTTCGCTTCCGACTGATTGACCAGACAGGTCATGCATGGCTGTTCAAAAGAACTCCCGATATCCATCTCGGCCTAGTGGTTGAACACCTAACGTGTTCGTCATAAAACTCGAACATTCTGAGCTCGATCATTGGCATGATCGTGAGTGTGTACTGTAGAAGAGTACAATGCTACGAAAAACAGTTATCCAGTGCTTCTTATAAATAAATCTAACATAGAATCACCAATCAGAATACCTAACCCATACCTACTGGGAGTAATTTGAGGCTCGAATAGAAGTCGCCACAACGTCTGTGACTGCAGCACTGAATGGCATGTTTTCGAATCTCTCGGATGATATCGGTTCCTTCAGAGATTCAGACATGCCCGACTGATGAGCTCTAATGAGTATGGGACCTGACTGCAAGGCTTTGAGTCGCTTACCTCCAACCATCACTTAATTTATTCACTTAATATTAATGAATTATCATCAACTTTCTGAACACACAGACTCAAATTGTGTTTTGCATCAAAACATTTGTTTGTCTGAATCCATTCATCTACTAGGTGGATCCAATTTATGAGTGGTGATGTTAAAATTACGGTGTGGAAAGGTCTAACCTACTGAAACTATACTGGAAGAAAATTCGATTTTTCTTATTTTCAAGTTTTCTTAAGACCACTGAACTGTTGCAAATCCTTGGAAACGTTCGCCTTTCGATGTTTGTCAATATTTAGCATAGTAGGCTGAAGCTGATGACAGTGAGATAACTGAGACTTTTCAGCTCTAAAACATTTCATGACCTACAGTCAGTCAGGTTAAATTCTGAATATATTATCAGGTTTGAGAATAGTGGAATTTTATCGATCTGTAGAACAACTCTGTGAACTCATTATTAAGATGATAGGGTATTAGAATTAAGAAAGATGAGAACAAAAAGGAAGAGTGACATAGTTGATCTTAATGTTGGTAAGAAAACAAATTTTTATCAAGGTAGGTGTGGTGTAAGAACACATTGTTTTTGCACACATAAAGGGGGTTTCGATTTGTATATGGCTATTGCTTTCGCAAATACCCCACTATATGTCCGTGAGTGTTTCTTTACAAAACTTTGAAAGCCGTTTGAACATTAATTTTGCGACCTATTTCTGCATTATCTTTAGCTATAGATGAAGAGAGTCGTCTATTACCAACTCTTATCAACGTTTCTCACTCGATTTTTTAAAAATCCATTTAGGTAAATGTTCTCCTACCCTCAACTCCGTGGCTGGATTACTCCTCTCTGTGTATGTGTCACCCGATACACGCACATCTAAACTGGTAAACACAATGGGATGGGATCCATCAATGACTATGTCACACCCCATTGTATTTACCAATTTACATGTGTGTTTTGTCACATACACAGGCAGGAATAATCTAGCCTCATCCTGGTGAGGGTGGGAGAACATGTACCTAAGTGGATTTAAAAAAATCGAGTGAGAAACGTTGATAAGAGTAGGTAATAGACAACTCTCTTCATCTATAGCTAAACATATCATACAAATAAGTCACAAAACTATTGTTCAGACAGCTTTCAAGGTCTTATATGGAAACAGTTGGGACGTATGTAGACTACTGAAATTTGCGGAAACGATAGCCATACCACCTTTTTATGTGTGCGAAAACAATTTTCTCCTACACGCTACACCTACCTTGATAAACTTTACTTCCTAACATTCTTCTGTTTAATATAAATTGACTTAAAAAGTAAATGTGTGGTTAGATTGTTCAAAATGTATTGTGTGAATACGTCATACGTTGTTCAGAAAAACTTCTAATTACACCACTGAAGTTCCATATCAGATTGTTTTTTTCGTATAGCGCACAGTGATTGATGCAGCACTATTTACTGGATGACGTTTTGAATACAAAATGTTGCTCGTAATCAAATCGAAACTAATCACAACTTTCGAACTTCATTTCTGCAATCCAATAGTTCTTTTACTTAAATGGTTGTACAACTTTTCAGATATCTACAATGTGTGATGAATCATTCTTATTACGTGTACTGTATGTTAATCTGTAACACAGAGATTCTTAGTCAGTCTCTTGCTCCACATAACCATATTGGATTCGAGGGTTGTCACCCTATCTCGCCATTTTGTGTAATTATGAGTCAGGGCATGCAGAGGGATGGTCAAAGTTTTTTTCTAAATTCCTTATCTTAGTTAGTTTATCATTGTGTTTTTCGCTAAATGTTTGTGCTCTGCTATTCTGATGAACTCTAATCGGTTTCTTGGACCAACTTACTTGGTATTTGATAGATTAGGCTATTTTACTGAATTTGATCTACTGGATCTTTTAGCTGACAAAGTTTCTCCCTGAGGGAATGTGTGGCTTTGAATGCCATCCTTACCCCAGTACTGTCAAGAATCGGATGTCTCTTCGTAGCTCGATTACGTAAACAAGTTACCAAGCCTACCTTAATAGACGTAAGGTGAAAGAATGTGAAGTATATAATCCTGTGTGACTGGTTTTCCCTAAATAATGGTATCTAAGTTGTCATGTTCACTTCGTTTTGCAGTCCGACACAGGTAATTCTCTTTCTTGATTTTCTGATTTATTCATGATTTCGGTTGCACTTTATATCGAGTTTAGCTGTGTCAACACACTAAGTGTGTCATCTATATATGATGCCATCTTACTTTTGAGTTGGGTTGAAATATTCCTTTACGCCCTTTGCTCTCACTTGTTCATAAATACGTCTTCTACGATCGGGAATACATTGGCATTCCCGTCTGTTT